ATGAAAATGGAATTCTCCAATCAGGTTCTCAGGTCACTGCATATATAAATCATGACCTGAAAACAACTCCCCTATTGGCTGCCTTTTGTCTCTACGTATCAATACTGAAGATCAGATGGCCAGAACAATAAAAATAAGACAGAAGGAACTCTAGGAACGAACCGACCAAGAATCTGTCACCCAACAAATATGCAGAAGAAAGTGGAGATGAATTGGGCATACACTGAGAAGACCATTCGGGGACATCACGCGCCAGGCCAGGCCGTCGATTGGAATCCAAAGTGGAAATGATGAGTTAGGCGTCCGAGGCGAGGGTGACATGGAGATCATGTGATGAAGAAATGAAAACTTCTGGGCAGTCTTGGAGCCAGGTTAAGAAGACTGTCGAGAACAGAGTGAAATGGAGACGTGCTACTGAAACCCTATGTTCCACTATGAACCCAAGGGACAAATAATAATAACACTAGATTTCAATGCAGACAGTTTTCTCAGCTACATTTTCAGAGATTCTCCATAGTTTCTCATTATCCTACGTGTTGCCTGTTCTAATCAGGTTTTACGTAAACCTGTGAGAGAAGGTCAACCAAAAGTATCGCAGAAATCTTTGTGGCAGACGGGAGTGTCACGTTACAGTGGCTTCTGGCAAGCAGAACAGAGAATGTGAAAGTCGGTACCACGATAACTGTACATACATAAAGTATAGTAATACTGGGAGTGTTAGGCTTTGCCTGTTGTGCTGCTCAAATATTCGCAGCTTGGTTGGACAAGCGAAAGCACTTCTAAATACCATCAGGATGAAGTTAGCATTTAAAATGTAAGTTAATGACTATGATAGCGATGATGACACATCATCGGTCGACAGACAGGTTACTGTGCAGAACTTGGAAAGTGTCCCAAGGTAAACTGGGAGACAGGTGCGGGAACTACACACAAGGTATGTTGATGAAAATTTAGGAGAAGCTACACAAAGCAAGATGAAGTAAACATTTTCAGGTTCTCACATCCGCACACCTAGTAGGCCTAGTCTGAAAACTATCGGCAGTAAGATTAGGTCAGCTTCCGATGAAAATGATGGAGGTTGATCGCTATCAGTCCCAACTAAGTAGCTATCCGAACTGCAGATCTCATCCAGTCCAGGAAATAAAGTAGTGAAAAGTGCATAAAAAACGATGAAACTTCGCCCTGAGGCTGTAAATTTCAGGGTCACTCAACTGGACCTTGATCAGCCTTCCACATTTGACTGAGAAATGAAAAGTAACCAAGACTTAGCAACACACGAAAAAGCCAGTCACAGTCCTATAGTGTGAAGGCAAAGTAGAACTCTGCGTAAAGCCCGCAATCTTCCACAGTTGAAGGCAGACACTTAAAAACGCGTAGCAGTTCCGGATATGACTTTGGTGAGGTACAAGTTTGACAAGCAAGCGGTTACCGGAAAACACCGTGGGTCAGTCAACTTAAGATATCTTGAGTGGCTAAAAAAAAGACAGCACCCACCGAAAACAGATTTCAGTTCCTTAAAGTCATGCTCTATTCTTCAGAAAAGAGGAACCTTATTCTGAAGAAAGCTCATAAACTTCAAGGAACTGGAGTGTTGGTGCATAGGGATTTGTCCCCTGCTGATCGGAGCAAAAAATGAGCAGTAAAGAAAGAACTGAAATCCCAACTGGCAGCAGAGAAGAGAGGTCTAAAAATGGTAGGTTTTCTTGTAGTGAGGCTTCGGAAGCAAATGATACCAAAGCCTCTGTGGAAATGACGAAAACTCATCAAGTTGGCCTCATTTCCTCGCATAAAAATGCATGTAGTCTCTTAAACAATTGGACTGGGCTTAGCAATGTAGCAAGCATAGGAAACCCTGATACCGTTTCTATTTCAGAAATGTGACTCTTATCTGAAGTCAGGGACAATGAAAACAACTTACGAAGGTTCGTTCTTTTTCAATGTGATAGATTATCAATCAGAGGTAGTGGTGTCTTCCTTTACTTGAAAAACATATTAACTGTTAGAGTTATAGAAACTTTCACACACGAAGTAGGGATATGCAAAATCCTGCTTTTGCGATTAAGATGCAAGGGGTATGATATTAACGTTGTCGTAGTATATCGAAGTCTTGAACATGAAGCGGAATAAACTGACTCTGTGGATAGATAAATGCAAATACTTATTTATAGGAGACTTCAACGCACAACCAGTCAACTGGGACAACCTAACAACAAAAGCATCACATAATTTGTTTGATCGTACGTTAAATGTAATATGCATTTCCCTTGGTTCCTCTATATGGCACATTACAGTGAAAACCCGATATGATCATCACCATGCCCCATCACTTTATACTTACTATTCTCCCATTTGATACCTTGTGACCCTTGGTAAAGGTGGCTATTTTCAGATCCACAGCAGTCGCCTTGTGTCAAACCGATACTGCACTTAGGCTAAATGTGTGGAAAGTGAACACGGCAACCTCTTCAGAGGACTGGACAGTCAACACAAACCCCAGTTGAAGCTGCATGGTGCTCCTTCAAACAGATATATGCACGAGTGACTCAACCGTTGGTTCCATGGACTGTCACAAAAAGACGAAAACACTGTCCGCCATAGATAAACTGCGAAATTACAAGTTCGCTGTGATGCAAGGAAAAGTGCTGAAGTCTTATCACTCATTTTGGTACTCCTAAAGTGAAGAAACCTGAAATAAATGCATTGTTGCTATATGCCGGTCCGGAACATGCTTTGAAAGACGTCTAGCCTAGGCTGCTGCACAGCACCCGAAGTTATTTTCTAATGTGAACTACAGGAATAGGACGTGACTTGTTATCTTCACACTAACTGGTAATTGAAGATGATAAGGAAAAAGTAGAAGCTATGACAAGATATTTTGTTGGGGTCTTTACCCAGGAACCTCCGAAAGACAATAATTTTTATTATTATTATTTATCTACAGTTCCTAAAAATCAGGGGTTTACCTATCCCGGTTCAGCCCTCTCCAGATTATTTACATTTGAACACCGAACCGAAATTCTTCCCAATTACCCCTATTAGTAACTGGAATAACTTAAATGAAAGCTTTTAGCAAGAGTCCTCAAGTATGACTGCTAGCTACCATTATCAAACATATTTAATGCAGTTTGATGCTAATTTTTTATCTCATATCTGGCTGCTTTCTCAAATTCGTTTGTGCAACAGTTGGTTTCGGTTGCTATTCCTTAACTCGATCTAAATGTGTCCCGGAGTAAACCTTTCCATCTATTCGCATTGATTGATAAACATCATAACGACCCATCGTTGTTACGTTTACAATTAGCTTTTGGGTAGGTTGCTACATGCGGGGATGCCAAAGAATGTGGCATAGCAAAGAATCTGGAACAGAATAAACGTGACGTCGGCCAATTTTTTTCGTCCGGTCAAATAAAGCAGTGTTGGACTCAAATCGACTCATCGAGTCAATTCCAGTGCTCATTGGATATAAATCTGATGAGGGGTTAGAGATAGTATACATAGGGTTGGATGTAGAACCAATGATCAGAGAGCTGATCCGTCATGCCGCGGAGTAATTTTCTACAAACATTTATACTACTCATATTTTATCAGTAGGCAAAGTAGTTACATCTAACTTCAAAAGAATGCGTTTAACTATTTAACTAATAAATAAACGGCCAAATTTTTATCCCGTCTGTACAAGCCTTCATGTAATTTTAAAAATTCCAACAGGTAAACAGGAATGAGTTTGAAAGGCCCTATGAGAAAACTATCAGGTCCTGGTTTCATATTCTACGTGGCCATAATGGTGTGCAAATGCAAAGGAAAACCAAATACAAAATCATTTCATTCCTAACCTTTTTTGTAGGCTTATGAAAAGGAACCGAAAATAGTGCAGGCTGAAGATACGGTAAAGGGTTGTAATGATTGTGGAAAACCTGCTAATAAAAAGTGATTGGACAAATATTTTACACTTTTAAGGCAAAAATAATTCGATACACTTTCCCTTCGAATAAAATGTGCTTTGAAAATTTTTTGAATGGGTTGGCAAAAAAGAAAGAAGATAAGTTAGTAGTCATGCGTCATACTTCCTTCACATTACAAGAGATCTATGTTTTAGGAGTAGGACTTTATCCAGGTCGAATGACTGTAAACCCAAGCGTACAAAAAATGCAACAAACGTTGGGTCACCTACTGGGGAAACTGTAAAAACTAAGTCAGATGTGCTGAACATGGAATCACATACAAGCCCTAGAAACATCACGTTACACAGCGGGTGTTGCAAAACCCTATGTCAGGCTCGACGTTTTCAATACTGAGTCGATCATTACCTTTCTAAGAGGTCTGACAGAAACGTTAACTAGAGAATTGTTCGGACGATTCAATTCACGATCATTCTTCACAAAGTGTGCTTATTTAGTAATGAGAAACATTAATATTTTACAAGACAATCAAATCTAAGAATTGAAAGTGAAGCCTGAATTAAATGTCACTAAATTACTTAGTAATATTATTAAATAGTACTATAAACAAAGCAATTTCAAAGATGTTACATATGCGGAAAACTTAGAAACTGTACTCGAATTTAATTCTCGTTCGGATAGTCTGCTGTCACCCTGAAGACTACCAAACACTGTGATTACTCCTTTCTTTGTCAAAAACGGTCTTTATAGCCATAACAGGAGAGCCTAACTGGTTACTTAGCAGTTGCTGGAACTACTTTGAGGGTCACTCTATCTGATGTATTCCATAAGGATTTTGAATGAGATACAATCTGACAGAGAGAAACGCACGTTAGTAATCAACCATATATATGCTCCTGCTAGTAAGAATCATCAGTTGAGTCAAGAATCTCTGCATTTTCGGCTAATCATATTACACTGGGAGGGTGTTACATCAACTCGATTCGCGAGCCGATTTTATCGTTTCTAGAGTCAGTCCGTAAACGCCTTCACTTCGACATGAAACGAAGAAGGCCATTGGTTGAAACTTTAAGACAATCCTTCACTTTTTGATCGACCTACCCTACACAGCCTCTCTTCCTTGAAGAGTAACATCATCAATCCAAGTTCCAGCTATTAAACCTCCAAGTATCCTTCCTACAGGGCTCCGATGAGGTTCAGCTTACCGACATTCCACGATTACAGATGTTTCGCTTCCTGTAAAGTGAAAATAGACAAAGGGGGCTATCAGATCATATTCAATATTTGAGTAAGAGACAAATGTTTTTCCTAGGAAGTGGGGACTAAAATTACATCCATTTTTGTCTACAGTCAAAAAAACACCTCCACGTCGAAACAGAGCACACTTTCACTCGTCCAGTCTGAGATTTCTAAAAGGTCCCTCTATAGAATCAAGGTATTCCATGACACCTCGCTTTCCCTCCAAATCTTTGAATTACCAGCACATAAAAATCAGTGAAAATTTAGGCTTTCTCGCTAGTAATTTATAAAAACAACAAGCAGTAGTAGACCAAGAGTGGAACCCTTAGGCACCCAAGTCAGCATCCTAAGTCAATTATGTACATATATAAAAATATATGTCCTTCTGAATATGCAGGCACATACCATTCTCGCAGGTATGGATAAACTTATATGCACGTTACATACTGCTTTAGGGCAAGTAATTTTAATTACCGAAATGCTTGTATTGCACGAGTTGACACAATGCACAGTTGGAAGTATTGACTTCGCATTCACAAAATAAAACAGGATTCGCATTTAAGCGTTATAGGGATTGCCCAGAGAAGAAAATAAAGCTCGAAGCTAGTACTTCCATTGCTACGTTCGTCGTAATTCGCTTGTTATTATGATGACAAACTCACGCATGAGTATATGCATGTGGTTTGTTATCTGCCGTTCTCTAATGAGTGCAGAACCTTGGATTTCACTCATTCTTGTACCAGTTATCGTCAGAGATTAACGATCTTACTGAATAATACGATAGGAAGCCAAATATCTGCTGTTTTCCAACCCCAGCATAAAAATGTAGTAGCTTTGTTTGAGTGCATCAAGTGGACGTCCAGAACTTTTGCCTACCGTTTCCCCCGCAATAGCAGCCTTGTAGTCGGTAAGTGCGACGCGTAACCGTTCACTTTCGTAATGAATCCCAGGTCTTGGTTATTATAAAGTTGTAGTCTGAAGAACATTATTTGTTTCTGCACGTTGTAATTTGCTGTCGTGAATAGAGCGACAATATTCAACCCGCAATGGATAGTTTCGAAACTATCCGTGTTGAATTCAGCACGGGTTTGTTCATTTGAGAAGTTAGTTTCATTTATGACCAAGGTAACTTTTGAAGCTGAAGGGTTTGCCTACAACGAGAAAGAAAGACAAGGCAGCAGGCCGAGAAAAGAGGATAGAAGTCCAACAAGGAGTTTGTTTTCGATATGCATGTTCCCCAGTGCCTTAACTTTTCTTATCACCCCATTAGTTATATCTGATTTGTCTATTAAACATTTAAGAACTTGCTAGTTTGAGACTTGATTCTACGTTTATTGTGAGATGTGGCTGTGTCGTTGAGTAGGGAGTGCCTAATTACGAGAAAGTTTCCACAAAGTTACGGAGGAAAGTTCAAAGCGGATGTAGCAGAAGTCTCATTTAGACGTTGAGAAGCCCTAATATACGCAGCGTCATAGAGGATGGTGATGCCGCACTCAGTAAGCCGGATAAGCTGCAAGATGATAAGAATTTAACTAGTAACCGACTAAATTCAGAGGTAGATTTGGAAGCCTTCACTTCAACAGAAAATCTGTTTCAAATCTGAGAGAATTTTACAGTGAAGAAGTTTACACACAAGCGGGATTTAAACGGGTTCACTGAGACGCTGTAGGCGTGGTCGCGCAGATCGTAACAACTGTTGTGCTCAAACTGAAACTCACCACTCGTGAATTTGTGTAGCAGATTGAAGAAGTGTCAGGCTAATTTCGAGCCGTCCCATCCACAGTGGTTCTAGATTTAAGGTCCCGAATCTGAAGTTGCGGTACTGTGTACAGTCGTATCCTAATGACCTAACTGTAAGATACCTGTGGACACCCTTTATTTCTAGTTTGTTTTTCAGCGGATACCACCCAGTCTAAATGAGCAGTATTCTAATAGTGGAATGCCACTGAAGCCCTATGTCTCACTACGGTCCCAAGGGACAAATAATCATAAACATATTCTAATGGTGGCCGTAAGCAAATCTTATAGGGCAGTAACTTTTCATTTTTGAAGTGAAGTTTGCGGACTATGCAGCCCAATAAGATCTTAGATTTGCGAGTCTGTGATCCAACCTGTTCAGAAAATGTGAGGTCACTTGAGTATCTTAGCCCAATGTCACAGAGACTTAAGAACAGGTGGTTTCATAGACTAAAGATGTAGTTAGATGTCCATCGACGGAGCACCAAAACACATCCGGCCACATTTGCATATATTGAAGCTTCCAACCAGAAGACTATGTGGGTGTTATATCAACCTCCCTTTATACTGTTACTTGGAATTGAGATAAATCAGAACAAGAGAATGTGTGTGAAACTTTTGGGTCATCAGCAAACAGGAATGGCCTACCGTGTGTAAAGCAGCTGCAAATGTCATTCATGTATAAAATAAAGAGGGGGGCCTAATACACTGCCTTGAACTACGCCAGAGGTAGTTGGCGTAGGTTTTGAAGTGTGCGAGTCCATTTTCACCACTTGAATGTGACTACTGAGGAAAGGTTCAATCCACCTCATGATGGATAGTCAATTTCCAGAGACTTCAACTTACTTATTAACGGCAAGCGACCAACCGTGAGATGCCTTTCGGAATGTTTCGACAAAGCACAAGGACTAGTTGATGTCTTTCGCACATAGTAGTTATGAAGTTAAAGAGGTCAAGATGATAAGTTATGCAGGACCTTGATTTCAGGAACCTATGCTGACTGGATGTGATAATGTCGTTACCAAGTACACACTGAAGAAAGCTCTCCTTAATAACTTTCTCCACAATTCTAGACACTACATGCATAATATTCATTGGTCTATAGCAACTGGCTAATATTTTTGACCCAGATTTATATCTACGTAAGATAAATGGTGGTTTCCAGATATCAGGGTAGGTGGAAGATTCTAGAGACATAGAAAATAACTTAAGTAATAATAATGGAGCATCGCGACCACCATACTTAAAGAAGCATGATAGTCTTCCGTTTGTGTCAGCGCTACTAGATCATTTTAGCATCTTAACGGCTTGGTTAATGTTAGCATATGTAAATTTAACAGCACTTATTGCCGTTATTGTGAGATAAGAATAGGTTCTTATGGTGGGGACTGTATTGGTATCACAGGAAAGAGTTGTAGGTCCTAGATAACTAGCCGCAGATATGTCGCTGAATATTTCACACATCCATTGGATTACTGTATGCTTTCGTGTCACGAGTAAGAAGAGGAATGCTTCGTCTTATGCAGTTCGATTTCTTCTTCAGGAGTGTTGAGAGAGCATATACTCTAGATGAGCTAGTCAGCGCATCACTCTTCAAACGCATATCGTGGTTATACGAGGTAGAGTTAACAACATTAAGAATCAGGAGAAGTGCATCGAAGTTTTGGTGTCGGTAGTATCTCGTCGAAAGTTTGCAAAACTTCCTGCGGGCACTTGGAGGTATAGATGGCTTGTTGGTCTGAGGCATTTATTTGAAACCGTTCACTGGGACAAAAGCGTCCAGAAAGGTATTAGAATTGTAGTAAAACGTACTTAGCGCTAGTTTGAGGTTAGCAATCGTGAAGTATGTTTCTTAGTTAATGCATCCAATCACTGGACACATAACCTACCAATCACCTGTATTGTAATCTCAACATCTTATTTGTTGTGGAGTGGAAGTATCAACTGAGGTGCTAGTTGAAGAAAGAGGTAATGCACACAATACCGTTTTGTAATCACTACTTATGAGCTTGAATCTCACATGTGTCAAAAGATGGTTTGTTTTGTGGCAAAGTACTGCGTCCATTATATTGTCACTTCTTGTAGTAGTAAAAGTTTGTTCCCATCCCAAAATACCCAGTGTATTAAAAAAATGAGTAACTCTTCATGGGTCACTATACACTACAAAAGTGCTAAGGTGCTGTTCGGACGTCTATAAAGCACCTGGTATTTTTCATGACCATGAGATTCCACTAATTACAGATCTAGAACATGCATACATCTCTCCATATGATCACAAGATCATATGCGGTGACTTAACTGAAATAAAGTAGGATTTCACCCGCTGGTCTAGCTGGGTATGACAACCGTATACGTACACTGGATATAATGGAAGGAAACAAATTTTCACTACTCCTACAAGAGGTGACAATGTATTAGACCTGGTACTTTGCCACAAAATAAGCCATCTTTTAACACATGGAAGCCCTAAGCTCATAGGAAGTGACCACATAATGGTATTGTGAGCATTACTACTTCCATCATTAAGCACTTCAGTTGGTACTTCTACTACACAACAATTGTTGTGTTACGTTATTTAAATAACATGTAGAGATACAACAAGGCTGGCTGGTAGGTTGTCCAGTGGTTAGATGTACTGACCGCAGATTAAACTGTAAAACTGCTAGCTATTAGTGATGCCAAGTCTGTAAAAATAACTAACTTGCAATGTGTATATATAACCAACGAAACACTTGAAACTTACTTCCGCGCTTTTCTTTCTTAGTAAGGTCGCAACTTATGTTTGCCGCGGTTCATGAAACTAAACCCTAATTAGTCCATTTAACACATTGAGTATGCTATTTCATTTTCCCTGACCAAGGCTATCGAAGGAAATATAAACTACTGACTTTTCGGCGATGAAGACCATTCGACTGAAGCAAATATACTTTCTATCTCACTGTCTTCTTCTTCTGGTGCCAGCTGAATATCGTGTTGAGAAGTCATTTTTCTATTGTTATTCGTACCTCATCAAAGTTCTTTATCGCTACATATGTACCGGAAATCATTACAGTGGTGGTGGAGGTGGGTTTACATGTGGATTCCTCGAAGCCAGACAAGCGTTTTGAGTAACAAATGAAAAATATCAATTTACCAAGTTCAAAATTTCTGCAGCTGAATTCTCTGGGTCCTACGCCTGCCGCATGAGCCCCTTAAGTTGGAGGAATTAAAGCCAGTATCATTATGGTCCGGATGCTAGCAGGACTTCCAGTACTACCGCTCCTTTGATGCCACCATGCAGACTCTAAGACACTTTGGTGACTCCACACATCTGAATATCAGATACGACCGTGTTAAACTGGTCATGAACCAGAATGGTGATTTCCGCACTCACGTTGGTATTTTCAACCGCGAATGCGAAAAAATTCCATCACCGATCCAATATCCAATATCTGTTTAACGAGCTAGTATGAACCAACTGATTTCTTCTTGCTCTCTTCTTGGTCTTGCGGAACGGTTCCAGGTCTTTGGTGGATTCCCAGGCAGTAGATCCAGCCACTCGTCTGCGATAGCTCTGGAATACAGAGCAGGCGGTTAGGTGTTAGTGATTTCGCCTTGGACTATGGTGCAGTTGGCTTTCTCGGGTGTCGAGTTGCCAGACAGTTGTTCTGACTGGTCGTTAGACAGAGTTAGAGATAGTGAAGAGGAGATCTATAGAGGAAACGAAGGGTGAACTAATGGAGTATTCTACTCACATTTGAGTAAGGCCGGGAGGGGGGCAAAGATATGAAGAACTTGGGTAGGTAAGGCTAACTCATGCCGAGTGGAAGGGATGAAAAGGGCTTAAATGGTTGCGGTAGAAAGAAAACTGGTTATAGATGTAAAACAGTTGGAATGGCTTGACAGAAGCTGGGTTCTTCTATTGAGTTCATATTCCAGCTACATGTGGGTAGACCATGGGTCTCTGAGTGACTGTCTAGCCCTTTATGAAGCCTTCAACAGATGGGCCAGAGACTACTTGTGGATATGCATTCCAGCGCCCGCATACTAGGAGGGAGAAGTATGAATGCACATGAGCTTTTGACCTTTTGTGGGAAATTCTCTCAGAGTTTCTGCAGGAACCACCATAGTGGCCACTCGGTAGTAATACTCTGTCCGGGTGACTTGGGTTGTCCAGTACTTTGTAAGCCATTATCAAGCCACCTCGTAGCCTTAGGCAGCTAAGACAGTATAGGCTTACGTCTTTCAGTCTGCCCTCATATGGTTTTTGTAACTTCAAACAGCCACTTTTGTGGCTCGCCTCCGAACTTTCTGTAGTGGGTTCGTGCCCCTTTTCGGTTGTGGTGGAACGAAGACGTTATGGACCCACGAGTGGGGTCGCGTGTGTCTTGCCAGGCCTCAGAAACAGCTGCGGTGTGAGGACACCCAGTCATCCGTGCATAAAGCGTAGTACACCGTATGCTTTTGAGGCGTCACCCGGGTAATTGGAAGTGATGTACAGTTTCCCTGTCACTTTTAAACCCAGGTCTTTTTCTGCCATGGCATGGAACAGGCGTGAACCATAGAGAGAGTAGGATACTTTCTGCGGATCAGGTGGGCGGAAAAAAACTACCGACACTTATCTAGGCTAAATGCCAGTTCGTCGTTTGTTTGCGCGTTACTCTAGTGTTCTGAAGTCGTTCTGTAATGCACTCGATTCCGCCCTCCATACCTTGACGTCATCAGGGTAGAGGAGAATTGGGGAGCTGATATGCAGCGGGAGGTCATTCATGAACAGCAGGAACAACAAGGTACCCGGGGTTGCCACTTGTGAGACACCAGATGGTGATACTCTCCTAGCTGAGTGGACCCTGTTGACTTTTGTGCAGAACTCCCTACTGTCTAAGCAGTTCTGCAATCACGATAGCACCCGGCCGCAAATACCTAACCCAGGTATTCTGTGTATTAAAGTGGTGTGTGAGGCAGCGTCAAAAGCCTTGACCAATCAAAATCTTTGATAGCTATATGCAGCCCTCGATTACCTAAGTTAGCAGATCCCATAATAAGATCGTAGCAGTAGGTTGCAGCAAGACCCGACACCAACGCCGAATAAAATTACTGCTGAAGATCAAAGACTGGTCAGCCGGCAAAGGGATACAAGTGTGGCCTAATGTGGGTGCCCGAATGATCACGAAATACATGCAGTCCGCCAGACACCTAACTGCCCTGAGTCCTATACTGGCAAAAAGATCCCTGGTTCTTTGTCCCCCGTCCATCATGCCAACGGCTCATGTAGTGCCAAGAAAAACATGAAGATGTTTCCACCCCTCTAGTGACACTACAATGCATGGCATTTAGCCAAATCTTGTCCTCATGAGCGGAGTAATCGCAGGAATTGTAACCATGTCACGAAGATGGATTTTGCAGACAGCATCCACCACAAAGAACAGTCAAGTCACCATTCAGTCACTTTACAAGGTCAAGGTCTCGATCGCCTACCAAATTTCACGGTCTTAATGCTGCTTTTCAGGCACATGTATCGGCACGGAGAAGGTGTATCGCAGTCCAACTAAAATAAACCGGCACAACTTCACACATTACAATTATTTACAAAGAGTTATAGCGGAAGATTGGCTCACCTCTGTCTAGAAGACAGCCCAAACTGTTATTGGGCCACACGTAGGCCGATTACCATTAACATTTCAGATATCATGTACTGTATCTTCCCAAGATAATTCGTTAGAAAGAATTTGTTATCCATCTGATGTTGACAAGAACCTCCTTGGTTTCCGTTGGCTCGAAAATCTTCGTCTTTAGGATATGCCTCTATGTTCTGTTCGCAACCAAGCCAAGCTTTCGCTGACAATCACTGATGTGGGCCACTGCCTACCAAATATGTTCAAACCTGATCTCGGCCACTGAACGATATTCCAAGCTTTTCTCCGCCTTCAAGATGACTCTAAACCTGCTTTCCGGCCCAAGAGATCAATGTCTTACGCATCATCACCCTAATTCGACACAGAAACCGCCCGTCTAAAAAACGCATCTCTTCGCATATGTGATTTTTCTGCGGGACTTGATGTAGCACTGGAATAGCCTCACTGTCCGCTTCCAGCACCGGATGATGCTTTAACTGTTATCAACGGCTGTACCTGCTTCACCAAAAGTGGACTAGCTGGAGCGTATCTACAGATTAAGGTAGCACAAGAATGCCGAGAATCAATGACGACAAACGCACGTCGTGGATTATACCAGTGCAAGTGCTCCCATTCGGAATTGGATCGATTTCAGTAATCTTCCAACAGTTGACAGATACCATACTTTCTGACATGCCTGGGGTAGCCGGTATCTGGAAGATATTCCCATTGTTGCAGCCTCCTCAGGACAGCTGCAAAAACGACTAGATCACGTACTGAAACAAATAAAGGATAACGGTTTTCGCCTCCGTCCCGAAAAGTCTTGGTTCTACCCACATTGAATCAAATATATGGGGCTTATTTTTAACACTTCCGGCCGCCCGCCAGACCTGGAAAATATTTACGCCATGCGGCAAGTACCAGAAGCGACGGACGTTCCCTCGGTACGATCATCACTGGGGCTGGCCACTTACTACTCGGCATTCTTACCCTCGTTGCATGTTGTGAAGACGCTGTCAAATCACCAACAAGGTAAAGACGTTCCGTGACGATGGAATGAAGGATGTGTATCAGCCTTCCGTCGGCCGGGGTCCATATTATCATCCAATCTCGGACTAACCCATTGTGACCCATAGCTGCCAACCGTTATGGCAGCATATACTTCGTCTTATGGAGTTGGATCTTCGATCCCATGCCTTCTCAGACGGAAAAAAGGAGGTCATCATGCATGCTTCTCAAGTTCTTTCAGTCACAGGGCGGGAACATGGTCGAATTGAGGGAGAAGCATCCGCCATTGTTTTCCGTCGTTTCCACAAGCTAGTTCGCGGTCACAAATTTACGCTTCTTATAGACTACAAACAGCTTCTGGATGCTTTCAGTTCTAGATCTGGTGTTCTGGTCCACCCAGCAACTCATCCCCAACGGTTGGACCCAATTCCGCCGGGATGTGATTCCGAAATTCAGCTCTGACGTCCCCAAGATTTTGACGAAGCTGACACCTCGTCCTGTCCTATAGATGACCATCCTGCGACTGAAGAAGGGAGAGTTTGTGCAGCGGTTTCGGCGGATTTCTCAGCTTTTGAGCTGGAGGTGGTCATCAGGGTGCTCCCGGTCACTGGCGAGGTCATCTAGACGGCTGTGTGCAAGGAAAAAGCTTCACAGCTTGCAATTCAGTCAGTTTTCACCCGATGGTTGAACGGAACTTTCATGGGTAATCCGTGATAACTGCATCTTGAAAAAACTCCCAGCGCATCTTCAGCAACTGCCTCCTGTTCGGAAAGCGAGCCACCGTCCCCACAACTCTTGACCGAATCCCAAATCAATTTTTTCGGGCCACCCTGGTATCGAACACATGAGGCCAGTTTCTCCCAAACAAGCTTTTGGTCGTGGCTGGATCATCAAGTTACAGACTTTGCTAACAGGTGCACTGAATGCCGACGAGCCGCCAAGCATCCTCCACGACTGTTATTCTGGTCGGATCCCTAAAGCCCATGGTAGGGAGTTTATGTTGATTTCGCCAGACCTGTTGATCAGGGCTACCACCTTGTTCCGGTAGACGCTTACCTAAAACGACCAGAAATCGCACATATCAACCCGCCGGACACCAAGAGAGCGTTCAAAGCCCTCCCCAAAATCCTCTGCTACCACGACCTTCCGGAAAGCATCTTCTCGGATGACCACCACAACTTAACCCCAT